AGAAGAAAAAAAATTGGATCGTGCTCGTTAGAGTTGTATAGGCTCAGATACCATATGAACACTCAAGAATATGATGAAAAACTGTATGTGTATTGAATGTCAAGCTCAGTTTAAATACAAGTTTTCCTAAGAGTACTCCTTGAATTAGGAGACTTATTCAAATTAAAACACTATCTAAAGCTAACTAACTGAATGATAAGTATGAACTAAAAAGGATATCTCTAAATCTATATCTAATCTAAGGATAAGCATGAAAGCTAAGAACTAATCCAAAACAACTAGGTACAACTGTTGTTCCAATAATATGCAGGGTCCGAGGAAGGGCTGGACCACAAGAGTGCATTGTAAGCAACCTTACCCTGCATTTCTGGAAGAGGCTGTTTCCACGGCTCGAATCTGTGACCTGCATTTCCGCAAGAGGATTTTATTAGTTGATTGAGAATTTTTCATTTTGTCAATTTTAAGGTTCATTTCTTGTACTAATGCTACTTAACTCGACTTGTTCGACTTTCTTAACAAACAGTATTGCAGAAGATGATCCTTTTGGAGTTTGAAATTGTGCTGTGATTGTATACACAAAAATGAAATTAAGATAATGTTTTCTGTATCTCAGATATCTAGTTGCTGATGGTTTTTGTAGTAGAGAGTGTTTCATGAGACATCTTCTTGCAATCTTGAGATCTTTGCAAAATAGCTAAAGCTGTTAACTAGATGACTCCTACTAATGAAACTTTATCCTAAAGCTAGTAAACGTACTACATGGAAATGATTTGTGGGCACTCTATTTGCTAATCTTTCTGATTCAGTTTTCTTTGTATCAGACTTCAGTGCAAAAATCTTGAACACGTATTTCTAACGAAAAAAGGCCACTGCAAGAATGTTTTTTTCCACACCCTATTATCACTTATTACTGCGCTTAACCACAAAACATTTGCTGATACGTCCATTTATATTTTCAATATCTATACCTGAAAACAGAATGTGGAGTATCATGGAGGTTTGAATAAGTGCAACCAATATCATGGAGGCCTACCTCTTCTTGGCTCCCCTTTTGATTGACCATGGGTACGATGGAGCAAGCAAAGAAGTACACTTCGATGTTGTACCCAGGTTTCTACATCCGCTATCAGTGGCAGCCAGCAAAACCACTATAGTATGATTGGTGTGCCTAACAATGCGTCTTCTGCTGATCTAAAAAAGGCCTATCGTCTTCTCGTTCTCAAGGTACTACTTCGTATTTTCCTCAGACATGTATAAAACCTTACAGAATAATGCACGAAAAGAAGACCAAAAAGTTGATATCTTGTGTGATTCAAGTGAAGCATTGACAAAAAAATGCTTCACTGAATTGCCTCAATATGTTAACAATCATGCTTAGTTACCGAAACGAAATAAGAAAAATAAATAGGTCATTTTTTTTCTGTCGTTCTAATTCTATTTAGAAAGATGTTATTGGAAAATGTTGAAGTGGGGGCAACTGTAAAAAGTCAAGATACACATACTTAAAACTATATCGGGTAAATTTCTTCAAAATTTTAGCTGCATCAACAATACATAATTTACTCCTTTATTTCTCAAATAACTATTGTTAGGGAACGAGACCTAAAAGATGTTTAATTTTATAGAACTAATATATGACTAGAGGAACAATACTTGGCCTCAATCAGCCTTCTTCTCTTGTCCAATTCTCTATTTCCTGAAACAAATGCCCTGAACAGCATATGTAGAGGGAGAGAGCTGAGCGGTTAAGGGTGTTTAATTTGATGCAAATGATGCAGGTTCTATTCTGGAATAATACATTGATGTGGAATTTAACTTCTCAAAAAGAAAAAAAAAATGTAGTGAACAGCATATGAATGGCAATCACAAGACAAGTAATTCGGGAAGAAAATAGGAAAAACAAGGTCACAGAGCTGAGACTTGTTGCAAATATTCTGCTATTTGTTTCCATCCTGTTGTTTTATTGCCATAATCTCTGAATATCTACTAAAATTACTTTCCTGTTTCTTCTGAGGTTACTGTCATACAAGTATCTGACAGTGTCACTCTTTTCCTAAAATTGAACCAACGAGAGAGCTTGATGCATGTCCAGTGTTAAAAATAGCATGACGCGAGGAAAAGCGACAACCCCCATTTCACGAGAAGCGAGAAACGAAGTGCCCGCTTTTTTTAAGTGAAGCGGAATTTTAAAAAAAATTAAAAATTTAAAGACATCTAATGGCCATCTTATTGGTCTCGTTAACTCTTGCAGAGTAAGCCCAAGCCGGGTCTTTCCTATCTTCTTTTGGCGCCATTAAAAGAATAACTACATAACACATAAGAAAAACCATAAAAACTAAGAATAAAAGACATAATAATTGGGCAGAAATTGGGCAGAAATTGGGCAGAAACTTGGCAGAATTTTTCTGAAAAAAATTCGCCAGCATTTCGGCGCTAACATACATGTTGAAACTAAGTTGCTGTTGTACTGTTGAAGTCTTGAAGAAGAAGAAGAACTCTAGTTTGCTTGAACAAATCGCTGCTTGAAGTGAGGAAGAAATCACTGGTTCGAAGAACCCTAGTTTGCTGCTAAAGAAGTCGAAGAAGTGCTAAAACAGAAACAACTATTTGGGTCTTTCAATTGAAAAAAGACTTTGGGTCTTTTAATTGAAAACTCGTCCGCTTCGATTGCTTCTGGGCGCTTCACCGCTTCTCACTTTTTAGAGAGAAGCGGTCGCTTATGCATGCGGTCGCTTATGCATACCGGAGCTGCTTTTAATGGCAGTAGCAATACCCCTCCCGCTCCGCTTCGCTTTTCGCTTAAAGCGAGGAAGCGCCCGCTTTTTTTAACACTGTGCATGTCCTTGATACGCTTATATGTGTTGACCCCATCATCTCGGTCTCAACAGGGAACACTTTCTTGTATGGTTACAAACTAAGAATGTTCCCTGGAACTAATTTTTTCTTCTTCACTTGGATCATTTTCTTGCAATGAGGTCACTTATATATCGTATTTTCTTTTACTTTTTGAGCAGATAGAGAGAGGCGCTTAATGGCGAAGGGCTGATAGGAAGAGTATGAAAGTTGGCGATTCATTTGCAATTTTTGGCTTTAAATTTGATTTTGCTATATATGGTAGCTCTTTTAGTAGAAGCGGATTTCTTCTCCTTTTCCTATCTTCATTTACTATTCTGGTTTTGTCGGTGGGAACAGTTTGGGCTTTTGTGCTTCTCGGGCATTTGATGAAAAGGATGCTAGTGCTTTAACTTTTCCCATGACAATATACATTTTATTTAAAAGCAACAAGCCTTTTTGGTTGAAGTTTCAACACAACTGACAAATATCAGTTGGCTTTGACAGGTATTGTCTAACGAGAAATCAGTATAATTGTGCCCTTCAACGTCAATATGATAATGAACAGGCCATTGGGCGGAGATTGGGACTATAACTATGAGTACAGCAATGGTGTAACTTTTAAGGACCTACAGGTGGGCTGATAGCAAACGAAATAAGCGGAGGCAGAGATACTGGGAACAGTATGATGCTAGGGAACACTTTTCCTTTTGTTATGAAACGACGATGAGTTGGAAGAAGAAATCCCTGATGAAGAAGAAAGAGGTCGTTTCGCAGAAGTGCTCAAATCTTCCTGTCTCTTTATTACTAATGTACGCAGCAGGCACACATGTTTCTTTGACGTTTAGTAGTCTCATCGCCCTGTTTGACAGAAAGTTAGATGCTGGATACAAGATTGGTTACTTGCATGGGTATTGGGAGGCAGAGGTGGCATTTTACGTACTCTTTGCCTTTCATTTGCAAGTTAAGCTTTTGTGGAAAACCAGTAGTAGCCTGGTAGCACTGGTGGTTGTGGCCATGTTGGTCAGGCTGCAATGTTGCTAGGTATGCTCCACACCCACAAGGTGCTATTCTTACTCTGTTATATATACATGTCAATCAAATTACAAGCTGATTTGAGTTAAAAGGTTTTGCAACAAAGTTACTGTTGTGTGAATATGTTAGTCCTTCCAGTTGTATATATGCTCCCATCCCCACTAAAAGTGCCCGTTCCTGTTTCTTACAGTGGAGTTGTCTGATAGTAGTGGATTTCGTAGAACTCATATAAGGAGAACATTGTTGGTTCATAATGTAAATGCCTACCCAATATTACCTGAAGTTTAACTAGCTATTCATCACATCTCTTTGAGCAAAACCGCTGAAGGTGAGTACTTTCGCTGTTCCAGGAATGCATTTTCACTTTACAATTACTGCTAATATGGCAGGAAGGTTGGCAATATAGATTTCAGGAAAATGTGTAAATTTTTAGGCATTTGACAAGTTAGACACTACCATGTTTCCAAACACCTTTGAAAATACATAACTCTAAATGCGTACAAAGGAGAAGCCCAGATGCTCCAGTAAGGAGGTATGAGTGGCTGGTTTTGGAGGGCACGAGAAGAGGTAGAGGACGACCTAAGAAGTATTGGGGAGAAGTGATCAGACAGGACATGGCGAGGCTTTAGATTTCCGAGGACATGACCCTTGATAGGAAGCTGTGGAGGTCGAGTACTAGGTTAGTAGGTTAGGAAGTAGTTGAGTGTTTCCTTACTTCATACCTTTATGAGGCTAGTCTGGTAGGGTTTTTATCGAAGTTAGTTAGTGGTAATGTTGTGTCTTACTGCTCTTTCGTTTTACATAGTGTCGGGTCTATGTATTGTATATCGCTTTTGCTTTTCATCTACTTTCTCATTTTCATGATGTTATTTTTCTTATGGTTTCTATTGGTGGTAGTGATATTGTTTCTTTTTCGCCTTCTTGAGCCGAGGGTCTTTCGGAAACAGCCTCTCTACTCCCTCGGGTAGGGGTAAAACCTGCATACACTACCCTCTCAGACCCTACTAGTAAAATTTTACTGGGTCGTTATTGTTGTCTTTGTAATCATGTTCGAACCAGGGCTTTATGGCTTTCAGAGGTAGTGCAAAGACCTAGGTTTCTCATTGAGGTTTTGAGGTGGCATGTTACATTTCTTTCAGTCTCTTTATTGATATTTGATACATTAGGAAAAATTTACATGTTTCTTGATTAGTCCCTAAAAGTGAAAGGAAGAAACGAATAGATACATTACATTGATGAGTCAATTAATTACACAACTCTACAAAAACAATGACTTGTACACTGGGTTGGCATAATTGTTTACATTTCTTGTCTTAGCCACTTCTAAACCTCCTTGTACAAAAACTGAGATTTCCAGAATGTTTCCTAATAACTCTTTGACTAGTCAACGTTCTGCAATGACTTGAGATTCCTCCACAAGTATTTCCCACTTGCCATGTCCACAAAAATCCAGAATCCATTTTGAATAATCTTAGGAAAGTTACATGGAAATCTCACCTCAAGGGAATCGAATTCTTGTTTCTCTTTCTGAGGAGCATTAGTTGTTTCAACCATAGAATCCTCAGGAATTGTAAAATCTATATCTGGCGAAGAAGAACGAACCGTCCTCCAAGCTACATAACCAGCCAATAATGCCGAAAAGAACACCAAGATAAATCTTAAAGGACACATGATGATATTTTCCCCAGAACCTCGAATGCCTAATTTGTGTTTTTTTGCTAAAAGCTAGAAAGTAGTTGCCGTTTTATAAAGTAAAAGTGTTGACAAAGCGCGTACCTAATCCTGGAAGAAAAAGGAGAAGAAAGAAGAGAAGGGGTTTTGTGGGGCCCGGGGGAGTAGTTGGCTGAATTTTATGACTAATTCCCTTTGTTTTAGGTTTAGGTGATGGGATATGGCAACTGCAGCTGCATGTGATCATTTTTCAAATCGCTATATATTTTACTACGTCAACGCAATATTCGCGCGTGCATCTAGAAACATCCTTTTTTTATTTTTATTTTGGGGAAGTTGTCTTTTCTATCGGGAATCTCCCGTACACTATTTTTTTATACCAAAATGATGCAAAGTAACTCTAACCATTACACTATTTTTTATATCAAAAAAGAATATTTTTTTAATATTTTTTTCCCTCTTCTACATTATATTATTTTCTTTACAAAACAAATCCTTTTGTTTTTACATATTTATCTCATATAATTCATATTTCTTTCTTATATAACCATTTAATATAAATTATTTTATACCTTTAATTTTAAATAAATATAAATTATAAGAAAATATTATACATTATATATATTAATGTATAATTCAAATAAAATTGAAATAATTGATAAGATATAATTAAATAAATATTATATTATGGTAAAATTTTGTTTAATTTTTACATAAATATTCAACTTACAAGATTAGTATATTGCTCCCATAAATGTTCTATTAATGCATTACAACAACAAACTCAGTATAATTCCACGGGTGGGGTTTGGGGAGGGTAGTGAGTATGCAGACCTTACCCCTACCTGAAGAGATAGAGAGACTGTTTCTGAAAGACTCTCGGCTCAAGAAAGGGTGGAAAGAAATAATAGGGGGGAAGAAAAGGAGGAAAGAGGGGGAGGGGGGGGAGAGGCGATAAGCAAAGAGGAAAAAAAACTAGCATCAAATAGTAACCATCAGAGATCAACAATATCCAGTAAAAGGGAAGAAAAGTAGCATCAAACAGTAACAATCAGAGAGCAACAATCCCAGTAGCAATTTACAAAAACAAAGGATGTGGTTACAAAATACCAGATACAATAACAAACTATACGGAAGTAACTTTCAACCCACAGCAAAAATATCACTAGTACTACTGGTGAACCTATTAAAAACTTGTAACTATCTGTTAACCCACCACCTTAATCCTCGACCTCCACACCTTCCTATCGCTAGTCATGTCCTCGGTTAGGTGAAGCACCAATAAGTCCTGCCTAATAACCTTTCCCCAATACTTCTTAGGCCTACCCCTGCCCTTCCTTAAGCCCGTCATGATCAACCTCTCACACCTCTTAACCGGAGCATCTATATCTCTCCTCTTCATATGCCCAAACCATTGCAACCTCGATTCCCGTAACTTGGCTTCCACATATGCCACTCCCACCTTGTCCCTAATAACTTCATTCCTTATCTTGTCTTTCCTGGTATGACCACACATCCATCTCAACATCCTCATTTTGCTACGCTCATCGTTTGGAAATGGGACTTCTTGACAGGCCAACACTCAGCTCCATACCACATAGCTGGTCTAACCACCACCTTGTAGAATTTGCCCTTAAGTCTAGGCGGTACATTCTTATCACATAAAACCTCCGAAGCTAGTCTCCAACTCATCCAACCCCTTCTAGTGCAGTGAGCAACATCCTTGTCAATTTCCCTATTGCCTTGGATTATAGACCAAATATACTTGAAACTATCTCTTGTGGGAATGACTTGAGTATCAATCTTTACTTCTACTTCTTCTTCATGCCTCTCCTCACTGAACTTGCACTCCAAGTATTCAGTTTTTGAGCTACTCAACTTGAAACCTTTGGATTCCAGTGTTTGTCTCCAAACTTCTAACCTAGCGTTAACACCCCTTCGCATCTCGTCAATCAATACTATGTCATCAGTAAATAGCATGTACCATGGAACCCTTCCTTGTATGTGATGAGTCAGGACATCCAACGCTAGGGCAAACAAAAACGGGTTAAGGGCTGATCCCTGATGTAACCTTATCTCTACTAGGAAATGTTCTGAGTCACCTCCCGCAGTCCTCACCCGAGTCTTAGCGCCTTCGTACATGTCCTTAATCACCCTAATATACGCTACAGGGACTCCGCTAACCTCCAAACACCTCCATAGCACCTCCTTCGGGACTTTGTCATAAGCCTTCTCAAGGTCAATGAACACCATGTGCAAGTCCTTTTTTCTCTCCCTATGCTACTCCACCAATCGTCTCACAAGGTGAATGGCTTCTGTGGTTGACCGTCTCTGCATATATCCGAACAGGTTCTCAGATATAGATACGCATGTCCTCACTCTCTTCTCCACCATCCTCTCCCAGACCTTCATAGCTGTGAGCACCTAATTTTTGACAATGTTTAATTTTTGTCACTTTTTCTATGTAAATATTTTAGGGGTTTTAACCTACAATTTTTAGCTTTGTTACATTTTTTATTATAGGTAAAAATACAAATTTTAAAAGGTGAATTATTACTATTACTATTATTTTATTTTTATTTTAAAATAATTTTAAAAAAATCCGAAAATATTATTTTTTTATTTCGGGAGAAATTAAATAAATAAGAAAAAAGGGAAGTAGGGAATTAAAAAAAATAAAAGTAAAAGTAGGTGGAATTCTCTTTTAAAAAGTAAAAAAAGTGGAAAATTAAAAAAATAAAAGTAAAATTTTGTGGAAATTTAAAAAATAAAAAGTAAAAGAAAGTGGGAATTAAAAAATAAAAGTAAAGATGGCTGAAAATTAAAAAAAAAAGTAAAAGAAAGTAGAATTTTTTAAAAGAAAAGTAAAAGAAAGTGGATTTATTTTAAAGAAAAGTAAAACAAGTGGAAAAATAAAAAAAGAAAAGTAAAAAAAAGTGGGATTTTAAATAAGATAAAAGTAATTAAAGTTGGAATTAAAAAAATAAAAGTAAAGAAATGTGAGAATTCTTTTTATAAAAAAAGAAAAGCAAAATGTAAGTGGGATTTCTTTTAAATAAAATAATAAAAAAATAATTAAAAAACAAATCTGAAAATTTTCGAAAAATCTCCTATAAATAGAAGAGAAATATTTGAAGAAGAAAAGAGAGAAGAGGAGAGGGAATTGAGAGAAAACATATTTTCTTCTTCTATGCAAAAATAGAATTTCTACTATTTTTATTCTTTCTTCCTATTTCTTTCAAAAAAAAAAACATCAATTCATTGTCTTGTTTAAGATAAAAAAAAAAGAAACCAAAAATTATCCCCAAAATAACCATAAGAATTCTTGGCATGAACCCATTTTCCTTCGAGTTTTAGTTACAGTCGAGTAACGAAATTCAATCCGTCGAGGTTGCCGGTTCAAGGTTCAGTCAATAGCTTGTTGTGTCCAACTCGATTTGGAGTTTTACATTTGGAAAATATTGAGCAAAGGTCCGTTCTAATCTTTGCCATTTTTGTGTACTTGCATGAATAAATTTACACTATACTTAATGAGTATACTTAATGAGTATTGTTCTATTTACACTATACTTAATGAGTATTGTTCTATTTAAATTGTGTTTTGCAAGATATATGTTAAGTTGTATTATTTTTTGAATATT